ATAATCGTTTTTAGTAGGCCTATCTTACTGAATATTTATTGTCTACCAAATGAAATATGAATTATATATGAATCTTTAGAAATACAATTTCTACAATATTAATCTTGTTTTTATATAGATAAATGTTCGATAAATAATATCGTTCATAAATCAAACGAAATTCAGCGCGTCTATTTTCATTCCAATCATGGACCTATTAATAAGAATAGTTCCATGTTCCAATCAATGGCGTTTGTAAACATGTGCACTGACGTTATCGTCGAATCCCAGGACTTTCGACGGCAATGCTGGCCTGCCTACCTAGGTCCTAGGCCAACCAATAATAATTAACAAAGTGTATTTTTTTTAAATATAGTAGGCCTATGGCGCATCCTAATACATGCACTTCAACTTTTACAACAAAAGCCTAGGCCTAGTAGTACGTCCTACTGTACTTAAGCCTAGGCCTACACTAGTTTGATGTCGTCGGGGTACAATTCTGTCTCTAAATGCAGCGTGACCACTAGGGAAAATCAAAATTCCCAAGTGGGTCTAAAAAATCCGAAGATTGCTTTTAAAAACCCAAGATTTGCAAAATATTATTATTGCCTATATACATAAACTTCATTTAAAAGTCCTTCATTTTAAAGCTTTTTCAATGAATTATATACTGTACAGTAATTTGTACTGTATAGGCCTTAACGAAGTGTCTTGATTTTCGAGACCAGAAACTCGTTCGTTTTGGGCCATACTATTAGAAGGTGTATACTCGTCAGTGCGTCAGTGGAAAATCCTTTTTGGTGACTAAAACGTGATATCATTTACTCTGGCATTGTATGTTAGGCCAAGAGTTTGAAGTTTATGCGCAATTTCGCCCATTCGATATTAACAAAGTCAGTACTTCACACACATTAGGCATATGACCTACAATATTATATAAAAAGGCATAATCGATCTTTACAGAGTGTCTAATTGATCTGTCAATTTTATACCAGGGGCCTACAGTATTGCATAGGAGTATTTAACTAAACATTTGAAAAATGGGGAAAACAGTTTCCATTGAAATTTACTTAGCGAGTGTGTATGAAACCGGGTCTATGGGCAACTAAAATTTGATATGGTAAAGATATGGACCCTATTAGTAAAAACTGTTGAATTCTAAATGATTACAAGATGACCAAGCATATGAATGAATCAGTCTAAAATGATATTCAAAGATATTATACAGCTAACCGCTAATGCTTGCTTTGCATGTCTATTACACACTGGCACTCACAAATGTATGTAAAAATTGGTCGTAAAATTTGATAACAAGTTGACCATTAAAATCTATTGTAAATATTTATTTTGAATTCGTACACCGATTTTGTTTCAAGTGGTTTATTTTCAATATTATAGCTGTTTCATTACGATGACAATGTTTTGAAATCGTACTGTATAACACTCCAAAATTTGTTTTATGGGCAAACAACAGAAGGCTCTGATTTTTTACAAGTTGACCAAGCGTGTTGCTCTGCATCATTATTGTTGAATTACGATCACTATTCAAATAGAGAGCAGGCTGGTAATTTGTTTTTCCCACAGCTATTTACATGTCGTTGTTTGTAACTTCTTTTTAAACTTGTGAGTGTAAATATTATTTAGTGTATATACTGTAGATAAGAATTGTAGATAAATAATGCACATAAAATCAATTGTCGATGGAGAACGGCGCCAGTCATCTGATTAGTCCCATATTAATAGTACCGATATTTTGAATACTCCTCTTCCGCGAATTGTTTTATTGACAGTGACTCATCTAATTCTTATATAATCACTATAACATTTTAATCGAAATAGTTCACCA